TAATTTTCAGCTTTTCACCTGATATCTCAAGTACTAATCATCACATTTCAATGAGACTTGCGACATAGATATTCTAGGACTATGCAGAGACCTGATTAATTTTGAGATAAAAAATTGTGCCTATTAATTACCTAATTTGCATAATTAGTTAATTTTTTGCTGTTCTATGGCTGTTGCACTGATGTCTAAAAACCACTCATTGGATTTCAATGAAACTTTTAAATAGTACCCATCACATTTCAATGAACCTAAGACTATGCACCATATTAGTTTTTGGTAAATATTTATGCTTCTTAATCACCTAATTAACATAATTAATTAATACTAATATCTCAAGTATTGATCATCACATTTGAATAAAACTTGGTACATAAATGCTCTAGGACAATAGACAGCCTGATTAATTTTGGGTTAAAATCTGTTCATATTAATTCTCTAATTAGCATAATAATTAATATTTTTTTGGTTCTAATCACATTCCAATGAAACTTGGTACATTGTGCAGACCTTATTAGTTTTACACCTAAATCTGTTCATATTAGTTACCTTATTTGCATAATTAGTTTTCAGCTATTCCATCAATATCTCAAGTATAAGTAATTTTGAATTAATTTTTAATGTGTCTCCAAAACTCTCAGCACACGGGAGTTCTTTCTAAGCTTTCTTTGATTTTCTTTAGTAATGGAAACATGTCAGCAATTAAACAATCATGTCTACTGATGCCAGACTTAGCCTTTTTACCACCATTCACAAAATAGTCCCGTTTATAGTCTGCATTTTCTTTCCGAAGTTTGGGACAAAAATGGCAACATTTTTTTAGTAAGAACTGAAAATTGTCTGAAATTATGTCTGTTGGCTCCAAAATTAGGGTTAGTTTCCAGAAATATAGAAGTATATAAGAAAAAAGAATAAATTTGAAATAGTTTGGGCGAGAAAGTCTGGTGGTGAAAAGGTTAAAAGAAAATATCTTGAGATCTTGAATATGAAACAAAATGATACATATGTTTTATATGACAACATTTATCACTGAAACTGGCTTTGTTATTTCAAACTCTTTTGACCAAAATAGCATCATCTGTTAACTTCCTGACAGTTGATTTAAAAGGTATTCATATCATCCATTCTCAGAAGGATTACCTGCGAAAATGTCATTATTCATTTTATTCTAGTGATTCTCTTGAAGCTTGTTAAAGTCGGTATTATGTTCAGGAGTTAATTTAATATTTTGCTTTCATTCATCTTTATTAGCAGTTTAGTACAATGACACATGTGCTTGCTATGTTAAATAATTTGAGACGCCAAAAAAAGATAAATTACTCGTTAAATTTTAAGATGGTTGTTTATTTATGCTATATATTTCTTTTTTCCATTTATAACTTAGCTTTGTAAATATACATATACCATATTTGCTATTAGAAGCGCAAACATAAAACCAAACATTTTGTTCATTGTATGCTGGATCATTAAAATATTACTTAATAGTTTGACTGTACATACATCGCTCTGTTATTTACATTAGTGCATGCACTACTAATAGAGCAAATATAATACCCGTTTTCTATTAAATTCCATGAGGCATAATATATTTTTAACTATGAATTTCAGTACTGTATTTGCTCTAATAGATCACGTCTCTACTAGAAGTACATAAATTACATGCACTTCAGACAGAGAATCGAGCTATGCATTTTTAAAGGAATTCAGGAATTTTTAGCATCATCTTCCTCGTTCATTGAAAATAAAATTTTGATATGTTGTGAGCTACTTATTGTATCGATTGTTAAAGGGGAACCGCTCAATCCCAAGGATTGCACCAAAGCATCATGGGACACTATTGTTTATGTTGTTTACAAAGTTAATCTATCTTTTGTTATCCATTGTAATTTTAATCCAGAAAGTAAGTTTGTTGTGAGATTAGGCTTAACTGGAAGTGTCCCTTTAATGTAATATGAGGCAATTGTTTTGTTGTTTTTATGATGTACATGTTTTATTTCAACTATAGTCACATTGTCTTGTGAGCTCTGCATGATTACCAACACTTTAAAAAAACTTCTAGCAAATAGATAATAAATTAAAATGAAAAGAAATATAAGAGAAATAAATAATTCCACACAAAAAATAAAGCTCTTGTTTTACTCAAATTGATGTGAACTCAAAAAACATTATCACTCTGTGATCATAACAGGTGTATATCATCACTTACTTATTTTAGTACGGATATTTATTGATTTACTCATTGTAGAAAATATTTATAGTTTTTCAGCTGAACGGTTTAGTCAATAATTCAATAATGGATGTATGTGTAAACTAGATTTTGAGTCCCCTTGTCACTGTGAGCTCTAAGACTTGTGGTTTCATTTTGCCACTTGTGAGACATCCATGTGACTGTAGAGGGCAGCATACCACTATTGGAAAGTAATAATTCATTGTAGTACTGGGGTAGTTGTAGCATAACTGAATCTTCTAATCTTTGTATTTTTTGTGTATAATATTAATCATTATAATAGTAAATCTGGTATCAAATAGTCTGGTCAATGTTTATTTGCTGTTTAAAAATGATTCATTTATATTATATGAAAAAAACAAACATATAAACATAAGATATGTTTGCTCTATTAGAACCACATCTTCACTTATATATAATGTATAAATCTCATTTTATCATTAACATGTTGTTTATTTTCTGTAAGGACTATAATTGAAGTTATCTGCAAGTTATGTTTATTTTAGTATAAAAACTTGCTTTTGTTTATTCTGTTCCAAAAATGTAAAATTTTTGATTTTTCACCTACAAGAATTAAAGTTTCATATGAAGTTAGTACTGGATATCAAAATCAGCACTTTTGTGAATTTTGAAAAATACTGTCTGAGACTATTTTTTGTCTTTGTTTTCAGTAATAATTACTCAAAGTATTGATTTCAAAGAAGCATGTGTAATAATTTCAGACAAATTGGTTTAGGCAATACTGACCTTTATTATTTTCAATTTTCTTAATTAATATCGTATTAATCTGATACCCTGCCCTGGGCGATGTTTTGAAGGACATATTTTTGAATGAGCACGTACTGGCTCCAAAACGCCCACCTGATGATACATGCCCATGGGCAGTGTTTTGGATGGGTAGATAAATACAGTAGATCAGAAAGCAGAAAGATCAATTTACATAATCAGCCTGCCACTCATGAGATATTGTGTTTTTGACAATAGAATTAATTAATGTTCTAGTAAATGTGAAGACTGATGTGGGGTATTCCAAAATATATGTTTACATTCGTTGAATCGTGTCATTAAATACATAGAGCATTATGAATACTGTGAAATACTTTATTTTTGCTTGGAATTAATTTTCGCTATTTTCGCTGAAGGAATGAATCAGTGAAAATAGATTCCAGCGAATATACTTTTTTTCCTTTCTTTTACATTCAACTCGCCAAAAATCAGTGAAAATAAAGTATTTTACAGTAGTTCAAGTTTTGAGAGGAGAATTAGTATATGTATGCATGGAAAAAAAAAAAGTGGAAATGGATGTGTTGAATAGATGTATTATATAATTGCAGAAAAGAACAAAAGATAAAGATAATACATTGATGCCAAGTCCATCCAAAACCTCTATATAGAGGCCACCTGCTTATAGTGACCACTTTCGGTAGTCCAACGGTATAATGTATGAACAACCTGTGTATAAAAACCACCTGTCTTATGTGACATCATCTTCAGTCCAAAATAATAGCATTCTGTTTACGAATAATTTTTAATTCCTTCCAGTCAATTTTTTTTATTTTCAACAGTACCATCTCATTATTTTTTGTACAAACATGGCGATTGGCAATTTGGCAATCCATGAAAAATTAATCCAACATCAATATAAAGAGACCTCCTGTCTATAAAAAGCATTTTAAAGTTCCTTGAGTGTTCACTATACCCAGATTTGACTTAGACAAATACAATGTTAAATATATCAAGCTATAACACCCAAACTTTAGACTCAATAATATGTGCACAACCATATTGAGCACTCATTTCATTTAGTCTTTAGTAAAAGTTGAGTTAATTTAGTTTTTAAGTAAGATTAATGACATTTTTTTTTCTCTCTTTTTCAGAGTTTTTACCGTGATCTGCCATCAATAGTTACAATCATAGTATCCAGTTTCATCTACGTTTGTCTTCTGATTTTCCTCTACTTTGATTTTGTCATCAAGAACTTCATGAAACCAATCTCCATTATCGTCTGGTTTTTGTTGGTTTCGACTGCTTACTTACTAATCGCTTTTAGAACTATCCACCTACCCACCGAATTTATTGGATTTATTGCCTTTATTCTCTTGGTGACTTATACTCTACTACCACTGTCTGTGAGAGATGCTTTTATTGTTGCCATAGTAACATGTCTGCCACATGTTATTGTAGTTGCTGTCCTGTCCATTGGTTCCTTGCAAGATAAAGTTTTACAGGTAGGTGGTAATTTAATATTAGGAAATTAGTTGATTAAATGCAAGAATATTGTAAACACTTATTTTTCATGACTGCTTTCA